AAGAAAAGACAATGACAGGAGATCTTCGTGGCAGAAAAGATAACGGCTGGAGATCTTCGTGGCAGATTGGTGACCACGGGAAATCTTCATGGCAAAAAAGACGACGATGGGTGTGGTTCCTAGCAGAAAACATGACGTTGGTGGTTCATGGTAGATCTTGATCGATGGTGGTGGTTCTAAGGTGGCATACAATGAACGATTAACGATGGTATTGTGATGATGGTTTGCTTTTGTGATGATGGTGGCAGTGGAAGATGGTTTGTGACGGTCGGTTTTGTTTTGTGATGATAAAAGAAAATGGTGATGGGTGGTGGCTGTGCGTTTCTATTGTGATGATGGTGGAATAATGTGTTTGGGTGGTGTTGTGGGGTTGTTTTCTGATTCAGGTGAAAGGTCATTTGGACAATGTGCGGTGGGTTTGTTTTGTATTTGCAAGTGGAAGATTGCATTTGCAGGTGGAAGATCGTTTGTAGGTGGAAGGTCGGACAATGCGAGGTGGGTTTGTGTTGTTGGAATTGAGAGGAAGATGGTTTCTCACGGTGGATTTGGGAATTGAGAGGAAGATGTTGTGACGGTGGTGAATGGGCAGCCAAACAAACAGACAAGACAAAAAAAAAGGAAGAAAGAAAAGAGACCGCAAAATCCGTACGCACGGTCACATGTGTCAGAATCAGATTTGAAAATTACTGTTTGCTGAATATAAAACAAACACATTTTGAAAATAGGATAAGGAATAGGGTTGCAAATAAACAAACAACGCACCCTTGATACAGAAAAAAAGATGTGTTAATTTAAATTACTGACGTAATCCAATTTTTGTCTCATTTCACCCTTGAATAATTAACATTTCAGAAATAAACGCCTTCTTTGTATGTCTATCAAGTGCAATTAGCCCAACTAGGCAAATGTCTTTTACCCCTTACAAGTTGAGAATTGGTTGAAAAACCTGCAGCACAATAAAGTTAAAATTTAATAAAATATCTCAACCACTCAAGATGATTGTCGGTCGTCGGCAACCAAAGTGGGCAATCATCGAAAAGGGCACGACGATCGGAAGATGGCGTTCCCACTTTAGATTCATGGTCATTTTGGCCAGAACCATCGGGGGAATGCTAGGGTGCATGCTCCGTTCCGCGAATGGTCGGACAATGGCAGGTTATCTTGAGGTGGTGTAGGGTATTTTGTTAAATTTTAAAATTTTATTGTGGCTAAGGGGGTTAGCTGAAATTATCAAATGTTTATGAGGTAAAATTAATAATCTAAATGATAAAAAACAATAAAAATATTATAATATTATGATTATTAAAAAAGGGCATAATTATGTAAAAGGGTCTCCTAAAATCGTTATGACCCAACCGACATATAATTATTATAACACAATCAACTAAACATAATAACTCTAACATTTCGTTAATCTCAAATGTAATCAACTAAAATATATAAGATAACATTTCCGGTTTACTCTTCCAAAGTAACTACTCACTAGGATTGATTCTTTCAGTACTAAATCTTCCCTGAACCAAAGCCCTTTTAAAGGAATGATGCATGTGTCATAAAAAATGAAATGAAAAAGCAAATATGACAAAGTTAATTTATAATTAGAATGATTTGTATGTCAATTAGAAAGGATAATATCATACGATGTGTTGGTAGGAAGTGGTGAAATGTATTTGTACAATATAATATTATTCATCATCGTATCCAATAATAATAGCCCAATACGGACAATTGTAAAACTCTTGTTTGGCATCGAAAGTTATATCTGGAAAAAACTAGAAATAGCACCTAACCTAATCTGCCATCACGTAAAATCAAAGTGTACGTGGGATATTCTAAGAACTTAGATATATCGTATAGCGTAAAGCGAACTCGTGAAGCCTGTACCTAACCTACTAGGGTCTGCAATTGAATTATTAAAATCAAGTTATCTCCACTCCACTAGTACTTTGGATTTTGAAGAATGGTTATATACATTATAGACAACCATATGGGGTACTGTAGCTTCGCTTCACCATTGATTACATTTCAAATTTATGTTTTTGATCGATTGAATTTTATATGATTAAGAATGACAACTATGGGTTGCACTTTCAGATAAATACAGATTTTAAGAACAAATAATTGGTTGTGAGAGGATAGTGTAATTCATAGGTGACTAAAATATAGTTGCTTAAAGTCGGAGTCAATGGATTGTGCTGAAATACAGTTAAATAAAATGGTTTAGATTTAAGGTTTCGCAAACAAGGGCGACGAGTATGGAACAAAAAATCTGTTCATAATCCACCTTGCAGTTCTTTTATATTTCATCATAAGTCTTTATAAACACGCCTGAGACTGCATGTTTTCTCATACTAATCAACCATTTCGGGAGGAAGGCTAGCAGCTGCGTTGTTTTAGGTTTTACTCCCCCCTGCTTTATACGGAAGTAGTCGTTCGATAAACAAAAAAATCAATCTTTTATCCGAGGCATGAATCGAACGGACCATGCGTCCAAGCCTGGAACTCTAACGAGATTGGAACAACAGTGACTTGTGAGCCAGTTTACAGCTTCTTACCTTGCTCATCCACTTCTGGGGTCAGCTATTCATGTGGTAGTATATGAATGTTGCTGTCTTTGCTAGCAAACATTCAAAGTGGATCAAACATCGTCTTTCAAATGTTGGAACTGGTAGATCTTGGTGCAAAGTTGTTCAACGTACGTGGATGTTTCCTCAAATCATTATGGTATCGGTAAACTCCTTTACCTAGAGTACTGTATCTTGGACGCTTCTTTGGTTTAAATGGGTTCAACTCAATAACAGAATGCCAAAATTGTGATGCTTTTCTCTTCTCATGAAATATTCAACTGCAGCAGTAAAAAACATCTATGCGAACTTCTGTTGATTTTTCACATTCACAGCCTTTTTCAATGTAATGTGCGTAAGGGTATATTTGTTTATCTCGATCACCAGTTCTAATATTAGTACTTATTATTACTTTTTAAGCTCGTTCAATGGTTAATGAAGCACATTATTTAATTTTAGTGTAGCTATAAATTTAGGAAGGTGAACGTTTGACCACTTGTTAGTGTGGAACCAGTATACTGCGTCACATAATTTCTTCTGTCATAATGTGTTCCAAAAAGATATTGGACTTGTGTCAAGTTAGTAGATTTGGCAAGGATATTTGCTCATTTTTTTTTTTTCTTATCATAAGTTCTTAAGAGTATGTACTAATCTTGAGTCATTTTTCAAATTACTAAAACATTATTAAAAAAAAATATCTTTTTTTAGAGAAAAAAATTTTGCACGTTTAACGAGTAAGAGTATGGTATACGAGATGTTAGAAATTGGAAAAAGGAATAAACCTAACTGTTATTTGGAAGAAAGATAAGCTTGCTATATATAACTTAACAAGATTACGGAATTGAAAATGTCACCATCGGACCAACTTCACACTAAACCAACTTTTTAAAACCCAGCACACAGCAAACAGTAAATATCCCAGTGTCAATAGTGAGACATGAACATTTCAACTGACTGGTACTTTACTATTTTTCTAGGCAACCTGTTTTTAATTGATGTAGCGTAATATTATGAATCATCAAGGTTTTGTAGTGAGTTTATCTCACAAATTTAAAAAGAATCAACTAAATGGTATCCAGTGTTGCTAAATTTAGGTAGGCAATATCTGATTTTTGCGCATTTTGTCTCAATATTCAAGTTACCTACCCATCATCAGTGCCCACTACGATCATTTCCAGTATTGTAAGGACCGTCAATGAATGCTAGTTTAGAATACGGTTATGCAATTAACTGCGCGATTTTAAATTAAACAAAAACAGTAAATGGACAATTTATCCACCACACCACAGGTTTCCGATGACACTTTTCAATCACAAACCATTTGCAAAAATTACCACTTTTTACACTCCAAAGTTAATAGTCGTTGATACCTCAAAATATATCTACCGTATCAACTTTCTTACGCTTGCATTTGAAAGTTATGGAGCAGTTAGATAAGAGGGGTTTTTTAAAGAACAGGCCAATGGGACGAAGATGATAAACGAATGAATATTCGCCGCGAAATTAGTTAAAAAAACAGGAAACTCTTTAGCTATTGCGGGTGGCCGACAATTATCGAGAAATTCAGGTGTTAGAGTGAGAGAGTTCTATAGAGGAGGAGACCAAAGATTCAAATAGTGGTGAGGAGAGAATTTGCGCTATTGGAATCAGGCTTTGGGTAGTAACGGCATATTTAACTTTAGGTGAAAAAATGGTATTTTGAAACATTTTAAGTGGGCGAACGTGGCATTAAGACAACCCTGGGTGGGAAAAAGGGGTTTACCTCTAGCAGGAAAAGCAAAACTTATCCAAATTTTCCATATTATCAACAAATAGCTAGGGTTTAATTTAGTGAAATACTCAGCTCTAAGCGTTACCCAAAAAGTAGAATTTTTTGTAAGCAAACCCTAATATTGGGGAGCATATGATTGAAAAAAGAAAGAGACGAAGAACATAAGGTATTAGAAGGTTATATAAGCAACATCGAGTTGATCGGAAAAGAAACAGAGAATGTGTCTTCATCTTCTCTAATAGTTTAACTATAGGTTTGTATCCCAAGGGATGATGCAATGCGTTAGTTATTGCATTTAAAAAAACGTAGTTCTGTGGAGGCTTGACGGCGTGATTTCAGTTGATATCTTAATGTTTAATCAGGTCATGAACTTTGGAATGAAAATTATTCATAGGCACCCAAGTATATAGTCAGTAGATGTCAATGAATGTACAATGGTAATGTTTATCCAAGCATTCCATGTGTTTATACTCTAATCTGTTTTATATATAGTTCCATTTCAAATTATGTAATTAATATGTTCAGGTTAATCACAGTGATCGGCGTCTCAGGAGATTCACGTCACGATTCAATCAATGCCCAATGGGAATGGCCATGCTGCAGGATCAAGGGGGGCTATATGAACTCACTTGTGAGTTGGGGTTCTGTTGTTGCTTTTGGTAGCTATGGATCTTTCCGATACTTCAACTTCAGAAAATGCAACTGCCGGTCAGACACATACGACGGCTTCAGCTTCATCAAATTCAGATAACAAAAAAACCTGACGTTTAACAGGTATAATCTTACTCTCATATTTTCTCTTAATTAAAAAAACGACATCTTGTAAATTAAATAAATTGAGACAGATAATTGCTTTTATTTATGCAGGTTATGGTGTAGAACTGTAAGGAGACGAGGGGTACAATTCACATGATCATGCTTCTATTCAATGATCCCAGCTTCTTATTCTCAGCTATGCAAACAAAAAGTGACAATTCACAACTGGGGCACGACTTCCGTCCTAATTTCTCTCATATAAACGTAATTTTCTCATCTGCATACTGGATGTATCAGGTAAAATAAGAAAAGCGAATAGATCCGCGCGCAATTATATGGACGTTGTCATAGTTATAGTCAAAGAACGAAGTATGACTAGAAGTACAACAAATTTAAAAAGGGGATTTGTAGTATTATGCTTAAACAACGTTTTATCCGCACGAGCTTTTCGACAATGCATGATTTCGATACTCCAAAGTTTACGAAGTAACATCTATTCTATAATCTAAAAAAAAAAAAGAAAAAAGATGGTTGCGCAGGGTGTTCTCAGCCATGGATAAAAAGAAGAACTAGAATTAACGTTGAATAAATTTGTATACAGAAGAAAAAATAGGCGCCTTCTTGCCAGAGAAATGGCCAAACCTAATGTAAACTTATGAAAGAGTAAGTTTTGTTGATTTATACCCAGATCTTGAGACGATCTATGCCGGAAACAATGTTTCAGGCATCAACCTTTAACCCTGTGAGCTTCAGGAGTCGGCTCTGATCCAGTTAGCGAATAATAGTCTTTCCTAATAAATTTGCAGATTGTTTCGCAAGGTTGACAAGAGTGGTTGATGAGTATATATCGAATGATGAACTGAGAGCACTGATCCTGGGAATACAGTTTGAAGAAGTGGGCTTGGATGAGGAGGATTTCGCAACAAAGGTGATGGAAGAGTTTGATATCTCAGGAGATGCTCATATTAATGAGAAAGAGTTTGTTAATGGTCTCTCAAAATGGCTTACAAAGGGTAATAACTCCAACAAGAAAGCGAAATCTTCTAACACCGAGTCACAGGTACATATGTAAACCCACGTTTATATGGTATACATGATATGTTTATTTAAATTAGTGTAATCAAATTGCAATATATCCTAATTGAACTGCAGTTACAGAATACTAGTGAAGAGAATAAGAGTCTGCTAGCTCAGAAAAAGGAAAGCAAGAGTACGGCTGATGATAAATCCTGGTGGAATTACATTAAAGCTGCTATTCTAGTGATTGCAGGAACCACAATTACAATAGTGATTGGGACACCCCTCATGCAAACGGTGCAAGAATTCTCCACTTCTGCAAACATTCCTTCATTCGCGGTCTCATATGTAGTGATACCTCTGGCTTTGGGCTACAAACAGATGCTTTTAGTCATTAAATCTGCTGGAGAGAAAACAGAAAAGGCTGCCTCTTTAACATTTTCTGAGGTTAATCAAATTATTTCCCTCTTTCATTCAGATATTCAATTGATCATTTGATGAATGGAAAAACTTAAAGGAAAAGAATCAATATAGCTACTTTTCTAATCTGTTGGTGGTCTGATAAGTGAAAGCTTTTGTGCAGCTTTATGGTGGAGTATTCATGAATAACATAATGGGTTTAGCCATCTTCTTGCTGCTTGTTTACATAAGAGATTTGACCTGGGATGTGTCGGCAGAAGTTCTGGTTATTTTAGTAATTTGCACTGCGATGGGGTTATTTGGGAGCTTCACCACCAAGATTCCATTTTGGACATGCATAATAGTATATCTTCTGTACCCCATATCTCTGCTTCTGCTTTACATTCTCACTGAAGTTCTTGGTTGGGCTTAAGCAAGCAAATTAAGATATTAATTAACAAAGAATAATTGAAGGCAAGCGAATTCCAAAATTTGAAAAAAAATTATGTACTGAACAGTTTACTAGAGGAGTATGTTTCCAATCAAGTACATGTTTATTTTGTTTCTGCATTCACAACAATCATTGTTTCATCCAACCATAAAGCAATCAAAGTTTTGTCTTTTTAATTTAATTTAAACACATATTAACATATTAGTCACGTTGATTTTTTAACCATTAATTTCTGGCATATTTTGCATTATTGGTAACTTCCCTCTTGATAATTCAAATAGTTCACCGCGATCTACAACGTCAAAACCAATGTATGTAGAGATCATATAATTATATATCCTATCGTGTAAACTTACTTTATTATGGTATCGAAATCACGTTTGTTTAAGGTGATGTTGGGTTTGAATCCAACTGCAAGTCAAGTGTGAGGGAGAATATTGAAATTGAATTTATCCCACATCACCTAATCGGTAGATTATTATGGTGTCTATATGTAATTGAATTCTCTTTTCTCTTAAGTTAGCTTTTAGGCTCGGGTTAACCAAACCCACTTTATTAATATGGATATATACTTTTGTTACACGCTGCACCTGAAGTTGCTAATTAATTAACAATAATATAATTCTAATTAATTATTAGATATTGGCTCTGGTGAGCGCTGACTAGCTTTCAAATATGAGCAAGCATCTCGTCCGAACTTGTCCAAGCCCTGATAGGCCCTTTATAGCGAGTCTTGAAATTAATGTGAAACGAACCACAGACCCACACCTTTATCAGAAGATGTGACTTCACTAGCTCTAGCTGTATATTCTATGGAAACATAATGTCAACTGTATTTCACATTTGAAACTCTTCAAAAAGGTTCAGGAACTCCAACTGCTGGTATCCAATTACCTAACGGAATACATGTCAATATAAACTTAATTTACAATATTCTACTTTGGTTTTAGGTTAGAATTATGATTGATTTTGATATAAGAGGGCGATAATACCTACCCATAATCAATGTTTAAGTTTTAAAGGTTTTATTTATCCGGGATCTTTATAAAACAAGCCTAAGAGTTGCGATCTGATTAACCAGCACTGGAGCAATTGTAACTGTCTCCATGACAATGATAAGTGTAAAACCCCGTTTTTTGTCCTAGTTGGATATATTACATATTCTTTGTGATTTTTACTGTTATGGAAGGGGATTTTTGTTAGCTTTTAAAATGTTAGGATTATTTTATAATTAGGATAAGTGTGTTAAGTCTTTTATTATTATCTTTTATAATTATGTTAAGTCTTTTATATTAGGATTATCTTATCATCTCTTTATAATTAGAGTCTTTTTGGGACTTATTATCCCTTTATAATTAGAGTCATTTTGAGAGTCAATAGAGTCAAGTGTAAGGCTATAATAATAGCTTAAGTCTAGATTGTGGGAGCCAATGAAGAATTTTGTCAACTAATCTTTCTATCTCTTGTTCTTGGAGGTCTCTGTTCCTCATAAAACAGATCATGTCCCAAACCCTATCATTGGTGCTCTCGTTCCCTAGTTATGGCTGAAGGCACTCGCTTGCGTCTTTTGGATGAGCAGCTTGCTAAAATTATGGCTCTACAATCTGCCCAGGCAGAGACTCTTACTTCTTTAATAGAGAAATTGGAAGTTTTGACAGTTGGTTTTCAAGATGTTACTTTGCAGATTTCAGCTCTAAACAACAAGTTCGATCAAACCTGCCAACAAAACCAACAACAAAACCTACATTCCGATGAATCATCTTCAAATTTGACTGGGCGAGGTGGATCGACTTTCGGGAGTTTTTTTTCCCAAATCTTTCCGTTTAAAAGTCCCTCGTTTTGATGGCACCTATCCGTGTGGATGGAGGTTTAAAGCCGAGCAATTTTTTGATTACCATAATATCTCTACTGAGCAATGATTGACGATCTCTTCCTTCCACATGGATGAGCCAACTCTCTCCTGGTATCACTAGATGCATTCCAATGGGCAGATTCGTTCTTGGCATTCTTTCCTATAGGATTTAGATGTTCGTTTTGGGCCTTCAGAATTTGTGGATTACCAAGGGCAATTGGCGAAACTTACTCAAACAGGTTATGTAGTCGCTTATCAAACAGAATTTGAGGAACTCTTTAATCAAGTTTTTGGCCTTCCAGGTGCGTTCCTTCTAAGTTGCTTTGTATCAGGGCTCAAACCAGAAATCTGAAAGGAGGTGCAGTCCTTTCGGCCTCACACCCTCAGCCATGCCATGAGTCTTGCCCGCTTACAGGAGGACAAGCTGCAGGATCTACACCTATACTTGCATTCTATCGACCCCGTATCTTACGATCCTAGTAAATCAACTCCTAATGTTCCTTCAGTGTAGCAGGCCCTTTTGCCTACTCCAAACAAATCATATCCCTTGCCTGTTAAGCGACTCACAGCAACACAGATGCAAGAACGACACAACAAAGGTTTGTGCTATAATTGCGATGAGCGCTTTCACCCTGGGCATTACTGCACAGCCAAGTTCTTTCTCTTGCTGATGGAGAAGGATGATGATGAGCTCAAGGATGAACCAGGATAATTGTTGTTGATGGTGTTGTACCTTGCAACCTGAGGACAAGGTTGAGGCGAAGGGGAAGGCAATGTTAGGATTATTTTAGAATTAGGATAAGTGTGTTAAGTCTTTTATTATTATCTTTTATAATTATGTTAAGTCTTTTATTATTATCTTTTATAATTATGTTAAGTCTTTTATAATTATCTTTTATTATTATCTTATTAGGATTATCTTATTATCTCTTTATAATTAGAGTCTTTTCGGGAGTCAATAGAGTCAAGTGTAAGACTATATAATAGCCTAAATCTAGATTTTGTCAATAAAGAATTTTGTCAACTAATCTTTCTATCTCTTGTTCTTGGAGATCTCTGTTCCTCATATAAACAGATCATGTCCCAAACCCTATCATAAAATTTTATTGGAGTGAAATTGAAAGAAATGGAAGTTGTTGGGTTTGCATGTAACTAGGGGGCAAAATCTAGAGGTTTTTGTAAGGAAAAGCTAATATGGTGGGGTCATGGTAAGTACGGGTGTAAACGAGCCAAACCAAGCCGAGCTTTCAGTTTAACGAGTTCGGCTTGTGTGCTTCAAGATCGAGCTCGAGCCTATCAAGTCAAGAAAAACAGGCTCGAGCTTGAGCTGGCTCGCGAGCTTGGCTTGGTAAGGGGCTCGCGAACCTTTACTTGAGCCTAGCTCGTTAAGGCTTGGTCAAACTTGGTTTGATAGAGTCAAATTCCAGCCCTACAGTCTGTTTTTCCCTCCAGAACCTATTTAAATCCACAAATTTGTGTCAATTAATACCTACTGCATAGCTTGCATCATATTAACCATGATAGTTATACAACAAAATACAAGTATTCAAATTTTTCATCGAAATACAATCGAAAAAATGAAAAAAATACAATTCAGAAAATGAAAAAAATAATTGTCCAACAATCAAAATATAGGTGGTTGTCTTCTGTAGACGGGTTGTTCTATATTGAAACCACCATTTTCCCCCGACTGCAAAAAATGTTAAATTTAGTAAGTATCTTTTTAGGTAACTAAAATGAATAATCATGCAACAGAACCAAAATTAATCAAACTTCTACCTGCGTGTGCCTCTTGCCACGGCCATACCTTGTACTGAATGTCAGGGACTTATGGGATAGGAAGCATGATCTTCAATGATTGCTGTTCTTCCTGAAAATCACATAGGAGGAGTAATTGAATTTAGTTAGTATAAATATAATGTAATTAATGAATTTAATCAAAAGAATATTCAATAAAACTTACTTTGCATCTTTTCTTCACTCCATTCAAAGCCTGACATCAATCGCATCCACATAAAAGCATCTCCATAATGTTGGGAGCTAATGACGATAATAAGTGTCAATAACCCTTACTCCCGACGCTGAAAGCAGACTCAGAAGCAACTGTAGTGATAGGGATGGCTAATACATCATGAGCCATGGTAGACAGAATAGGGAATTTCGTTGCATTTGCCTTCCACCATGTTAAAGCATCAAAAGTCGCAGTGATCCCCCACACATTTATGACACCCCCCTCTCCCAAACCTCACAATTCTAAACTCTGTTCCTCACCCACGCCACAAAACTCCCACTAAATCTAATTTGTAAGATCCCACTTGAGTACGGGTTTAAGATTTGTTGTATTAGTTAAACAGCTTATTCGTTCTAACTGTAATTGCCTTGTAATTTTGAGTGGGTGAATTGGTGCCTTGAAATTGTAGGTTTTGGTTTGAGTATTGGTGAAGGTTGTGAAATCCAATCATTCGGCCGGGGCGAAGAATAAAGCTTTCCCTGCCTGCGGCGAGGCGGAGGGGTGGCACGAGGGTAAGTTTCTTCCCTTTTTTCGCGAGGCTACGAAAAGTGCTTCGCCGCGGCGACAGCCTAAACATAAGATTTTCTTGAGTTTCTAGGAAGGCTTCTTGTGCGACACATGACCTTCACCCCCCCCTCAATCCATAGTAGGAAAAGTGGGAGTAACAGGAAATGAATTAGTAGAGATTTGTGTTAGGCTGCACTGCGGTTCGCTATTGTAAAGAATCAAAGGAGATAATTGGAACTTCTCCAACGACGACATCCGCCGCCCCCAATCGGAAATGGCATGCTTCATCAATATGAACCCCTCACAACCAGGTTACAAGTTGTAGCAGAAACCCCTTTACTTTCTTCACCCTCCACCCGCCTCCTTCCCTTCTCGGCCCATTTTTCTCTTCAATTTTCTCCTCCAATTTTTCCTCGAAGATTCTAAGGTTTTTTAATGAGGGTGTTTTGAGTATAGATTTCATCAAAGCACTCCTAATGGTAAGAATTCTATGCTTTTATTGATGTGAATTTTTTCTTATAAATATATTGAAGTCTTTATGGTGGTTTGTCCTTGCCTTTAGTTGTTTGTTTTTTTGAGTTGTAAAAAGAGAATCATAGATCAAAGGTCACCAGGTAAACGGTGTCTAAAAATCTCTTTTGTCACAGAGGTAAGGCAATCTAACTAACTTGAGTTTAAACTACCTTTTTGTTGTAGTGATGTACATTGATCAGTATGTAATGTATCATTAATTGAGAAAACATTATCTTGAGATGAGTAGCTTCTTTTTGTAGTTGTGGATAATTCCATGTACTGAGAATGTTTTAATGTGTATGATAATG